CTGCCCTGAAAGTTGGTGATGTTCGTGCCTAAACCTGGTCTGATGTAACTGTGTATTAAAGTGTAGAAGGGGACTCGGGCTGCTGTGGTTTGTCCTGTAACAGGCAAACCCCGTCCGTCCGTATAACCTCATTTGTTGCCAGCCTTTCACCAACTGAATGGCAGCCTTGCTTCTGTCAGTCTCCCCAGGGCAGACGTAGTATACCACCATCACCGTATAAATAGACGGGTGAATGACCAAATGTAATGCAAAGTGCTTTGGAGTGCCTGTGTTTGATAAAGTCCTAGATAAGTATACACTATTTACTAGGCCATGTACTGTAGATGTAAAATATGAGTATATATAGGTATATATCAGACATTGACTAAAAATTTTTAAAAAGTTTCTAAACAAGCCTCCAGAACTGACAAAAGATCAGGGATAGGTGTCAAAACGTATTCACAAAAAATGAAAAAATGTCAATTCGACTTGTGTACAGGCATTTTGTTCATTTATCACAAAATGCATTGAAGTTAACATATGTTATTCAGGGGTCAGCAGTACAACATTTTCAGTAACAATGTCAGTATATGCATAAGTGTAATAAAAACCTACTGCAGTCTACCTGCAGACCGTTACCACACTAGTCATCAGTGCATCTCCTTTCCTCTGGTAAATAGTGAGGGGGTTTGCTGCAAATGTGGTTAATAAACAGAGTGACGACCAATCAACCAGAAAAGAAGCTTGCAGTTAGATCAGAAACTAGTCAAAACCCATTTCAACCATCCCTGTATGCTATAATTGATCACAGAGACAATACGATGCAAGGTTTATAGGATCATTGCCAAAACGGCAAAAAAAAAAAATACTTGATAACTCTAACACTGCATAGGAATATACAGACCAATTTTATGTTTACATTATAAAGACATGTATGTTAGATGCTTGCTAACACTAAAGGTATATCCCTCTTACAATTATTTAAACTTAATATTTAGTTCCTACTCTGTGATAGGATGCCCCCTAGACTCAGTACACAAGGTGGGGGAAAAAAAGGATCCTAACTAAATTAACATCTCTGTTGGATAATGTCTCCCACCCCATGAATGAAGCTGCTGCTGAAAAGCTCCTTCAGTGACAGACTGCTGCACCCTAAATGCACCAGGGAGTGTTATCACAGATCCTTCTTCCTAGCAGCTGTAAGATTTTATAACCATCAATGTTCCCAACAACCTCAATAAGTTGTTAGATTTATGTGGACTTTTGCACAGTTTGTATCTTAGTAAGTTAAATAACATGCTGCTGTCATTTAATTTTTATTTTATTTTTTTTGCACATCTCTGGTGCAAAATCATCTCTCTAGTTGCTGCCATTTTTCACATATCCATTACTGTTAAAATGTCCACAGCTGTTATTGATTTGTCATTACCCAGACACAGAGTATTATATTGTAAAACACTATACAATGCTCTTTTTGTTTTATTTTCCTATCTGTTATTTTTATACACTTTTCTAAGGTACACATTGTGTGAACACTTCTACTATAACATTTGCTGCTATAAACACCACAATTTTCCTATTGTGTGACATTAAAGGAATTTTACAATATAATCACTGCTTTGTGTTTTCTAGTCTCCTGCTTTGCTGAAACGGAAAGCCTTAAAATTAATATATATAGATATTTCTCTCAATTTAGCTAACAGTCATGCTGTCTTTGAGAGTAGAGTTGAAAGCGGAAGCCAAAGCCCAAACATGACCAGGTATAAATATGCAAAAATCCATGTAGAATGAGCCCACACTGGGATTTGAAAAAAGGACCTTCTTGCTGCCAGATGATAGTGCACATCACAAGTCAATCTAGCAATATTACACCAGAGCCCTGTAACCACCCCAGGTGTTTGGGTTTTTACTTTGGTTTTTATGGTCTTTGATCTTTATTCAGTATTACTGAATATTTTTTGGGGTTTGTTAATATTTTCATCTTATTTTTTTTTTCTTTTCTGTTTTAAACTTTGCAATTTAAGTTTTTGCTATATTAATTTATTTTTCTGAGTTTACAAAAGTTGAAAAGGTGCTTCCATAGTAGTTCATTCTTTAGTGTTAAGCTTCCTAGTTTATTTCCCCTCTTAAAGAATCATGTGGGTAGATCTTCTGGCTTGCTTTACATAAAGTCCTAATATCGGTCTCCGCCAGTCACGTGACATTTGTTGCTAAGACGCCATTTTTGGTGGAAAAGGCGTAGTGTAAACAACCGCAGCATAGCTAAATGAAGGACTAAAGGATTGAGTTTGTTTCTCTGACTATCTGGAAAAAAGTAAGCATAATGCGAAATTACCGTACCGGTGTCGTGCCAAAGTAGTTATCCCTGCGAAAATTTGTATCCCCTCGTCGGGAGCGCGCACGTAGTAGGAAGAATAACCCGACTTAACTCCGCCTAAATTCCAACGTGCAGAACTTGAAATTTGAAAGGTTTTACGTGTATGAAAGTTGAGCTTTACTGTTTTATTCTTTATTTCACGTGTTGTAGCAGAATATCGCCAGTGATATTGATTTAAAACTGATTATAAAACACAAACGTTTGCTTGAAAGCTGGTCGCTGACAGGAAACAATTTCAACCAGGAAACAATTATTTTCCTTCTGCATATAGTTTTTAATGATTACACGTGCATTCCATTTTCTATTTCATTTTTATTCCAAGTATATGGTTTACAACAGTTTTCAATGGGATGAGAACATTTGGATACTGTGAAACAATGAGAGATTTTTTTAATGAACCTGTGGAAAAGAACAAGGATCTGTTTGCTTTCAGAGGGAGGAGTAGACACTGCTGTCAGCGACCAGCTTTCATGCAAACGTTTGTGTTTTATTATTAGTTTTAGATCAATATCACTGGCGATATTCTGCTATAACATGTGAAGTAAAGAATAAAACAGTAAAGCTCAACTTTCATACACGTAAAACCTTTCAAATTTCAAGTTCTGCACGTTGGAATTTAGGCGGAGTTAAGTCGGGTTATTCTTCCTACTACGTGCGCGCTCCCGACGAGGGGATACAAATTTTCGCAGGGATAACTACCTTGGCACGACACCGGGACTGGCAGCCTCTGACACAACACGATCGTGTCATTTCTGGTAAATAATTGTGCCGAAAGAACAGCCGCGTGTGGGTTATCTCGACTTTCCACCTATTATGGTGGTTTTCCCACGATGCACCGCGCCCGAGGTAAACATTGACGTCACCTGGCGCAGACCAATAACGAGAATAAAGTTATAAAATTACAAGGATACAGTCGCAACATTATGAGAAGTCGTAACATTACAAAAATAAAGTCCTAATATTACAAGAATAAAGTCGTAACATAACGAGAATAAAGTCATTAAATTACAAGAATACAATGGTAACATTACGAGAATAAAGTCCTAATATTACGAGAATAAAGTAATAAAATTACAAGAATAGTCACAACTTTACAAAAATAAAATTGTAACATTATGAGAATAAAGCGAGAATTAAGTCATAAAATTACAAGACTAGAGTCGCAACATTACGAGAATAGGTCCTAATATTATGAGAATAAAGTCATAAAAATACAAGGATAAAGTTATAGAATTACAAGAATAAAGTCGTAACATTATAAGAATAAGGTTCTAATAATACAAAAAATAAAGTTGTATTTTATGACAACTCTTACAAGAAGCACTTTCTTCCCTAAAATTAGGATTGTCGAGCATCATGTGACATTTTTTGGCATCAGTTTGACAAATAAGGAAATCTTTAAACACATCAGTATTAAATTGGGCAGTATGTTAAAGTGGACTCAGGCTGCTGTTTGATGGTGCTGGTCAGCCGTCATATGCTGGTTGGAGCTCGAAGCTTTTTTCTGAAACAGGTTGTGGTATTATGATTTCATTCTTGTAATTTTCAACTTTATTCTCGTAATTTTACGACTTTATTCTCGTAATGTTATGATTTTATTTTCATAATGTTACAATTTTATCCTTGTAATATTACAACTTTTTTCTCGTAATGTTATGATTTCATTCTCGTAATGTTACAGTTTTATTCTTGTAATATGTTATGACTTTTTATTATGATTTTTTTTTTTTTATCTCTCACCTGGCCCTATTACGCCATCATAGTTAACTGCTCAATTGTTTTGCTCAGCATTCTGTTTTCCTGATATTTTCTCCTGCAGTTTCATCGCCTGCTTATTCTAACACTAATTTTACTAACTGTTCCATATGTGACTGCTTTTGTAAGCTTCATTTTTATTCATGAAAACATTTTTAGCAAAACTACTCTCTACACTTCAGTTCACCTCAAACCACCTCACTTCAACAATGCAATACAATTCTGAGGAACTGTTCACAGTAAAAAAAAAAAAACTGTAATGCTTCCAAAAAGAAGAAAACATTGATTCTCCTACATGAGAGAGATGTGTAGAAAAATAATAATACTTTCAAAATAAAATGTAAGCAACTCTCAGCAGCCTTAAGACCAGGGAAAGCTGTGTTTTTGGTTCAGAATAAAAACTTAAAAATGTTGGCCAGCCCTGAATAGAGGAAAAACAGATCGAACTAAAAGTATGCCCAGGTGCAATTCTTGGCTCCTGGTCTAAAGAAGTAGAGAGCAGTATTTTCTTCATTTCTGGTGCAGCAACCGGCAACATAGTAAGAACAAACCTTCAATGCACGTCCTTCAGAAAAGCATTAGCATTTCCCCTTATCCAAAACAAAGAAATCAAGAAATAAAAAAAGCAGCTAGAATTCAAGCGGCACAGAACATTTCTCGATGCAGCTGTTGTGTTTAAACAGAAAATTAAACCACAAAGATAATTTATTTCAATTTATTGATATTATGTTCCTTTTAGAAATAATTTAATATTATTAATGGAAAATGATCTAAACAAATTTTAGTGTAGCTATAGACCTTTTATTATTGATAGAAAGATAATTAATGGCTTCAACGGGTCTATTTCTCTGGCTAAAAGTAGTAAAAAGTGTAACATTTGTTCACTTACTGTTCTTGCAGGAGGAAGTCCACGTTCTCTGAGGAAATCTGTCCCGTTACAGGATGAATAAATGATGTGGTCCTTTGGTTATGACTAAAGTAACAGGAAAGAGAGAAAAATAGAGAAATTAGGAACCTGCCAGACACCTTAAACAGTGAATTCATTGTGCTATTTTTAAACATTTACAATTAGAACCCCTTATTAATCTCTCCCCTCTCAGTAGCCATAACTTTCCCAGCACAGTGTAGAATGCGAGGGGTCGACCACAGGACCCCTTCCTAGTCGCCCATCCCACCCTGTGTGGAGTAAAGTGTCAGGCTCAGCACAAATGCAGGACAGTTGAGGCGCGAGCCTCTGTCAGTTACAGACTCATCCAGTCAGCCATTCAAAGCCTCTAGCAGAGTGTGAAACCATTGGACTGGGTAAACAACACCAAGCACTATGGAGAGTGTGTAAGCGCACTGGAGAGCATTTCTACTCGAAATATTGAATAGAAGTAAAAACACACCGTCAGCTCATTAGCTTGTCAATTTCAATTACGGCTGCATGTGTTTTGGCTTTGAAGGGTTCTTCATATGAAACACAGCTAAACTGCAAGGGTTTGATTCTTAAATTACACCAACACAGCTAATGAGGAGCACACTCACACCTGTGAAGGTCTACAGCCACTCCCAGGCTCTATTAATACAAAATAACACCGTTTAGAGATCAGAAAAATCATCTTTGACGTAGCAGAAGAGTGAATCCTATAGCATAGCGAGTTTTCCCAGGAGGGCCAGTGACACGGCAGCAGCACGTCCCAGAACAGGGATTTACCACGACACGGTTAGCTTCCAGCCTAACTACATCCTGTCCCAGGGTTACCGTCACATATCAATGCTTTACCTGCAGAGACTCTAGACAGATTGGATTGCCGTCAGCAGCAGGTGTAGGAGGAGAACGTTTCACATTTTTTCAAGTCAAAACTTCCCAGTTCATTGTGTTCTTAAGGGATTTAGGTGGAAAAAAACTCCACAAAGTGGATTCTTCTGATTCTAAGATAAAAAAAAAATAAGATTCTCTACAAATTAAACCTTAAAAGTTTGATTTAGATTTTATTTTCCCAGCCTTTTCGCAATTTAAACTGAAAATCTTTAAGGGTTTATAAAAAATAAGGTCTGATCAACATTTATTAGTTTGTTTTGCTAAAAATCTTAAGCCACGTAAAACTGAAGGGAGGAAATCTGTGATTTAAAATCAGATTTAGTTCTGAACTTTAAGTGGGACATTTTTTATAATTTGTGTTAATATAAAGCATTTCTGATTAACTCTACCTGTATATTTAAAAGGTCTGAATCCAGCACCATCCTGTTCTTGAGAAAAAGGTACCCCAAAGCATGATGCTGCCACCACCGTCTTTCATCTTGGTTGAAACATGACTGTGTGTTCAGGGTGATGGGAGTTATGGAACTTATCATAGTCAACAATGTCCTGCAAACTCTGGAATGTTGTCCAGACGTTTACCTTACTCTCCACATGGCTGGTAGAAAAATCGCAAATGGACTTTTTATGTCTTTCTCTCAACAATGGCTTCTTCTAGAAACTCTTCTCTAAAAGACAGATTTGTGGAATGCATACCTAACGGTATAAGTGTGGCAAATGAAGCAGCATTTTTATCAACATTTTCTCCCAGAGATAAGAGAATTCGGACTGTTTTTCGACTCCAGAGAATTTTTGATGGTGCCAGACCAAGTTGATTAAAATGACACATGTGGTACAGGAAATACTGTGCATATCAAAGACCAATTAATTAGCAATTGCTCTTAATTTACTTATTTATTTGTTTTTATAAAAACGGATCCAGTCTTTGATCTTCTGACAAAAAGCAGGTATCATAAAACCTTAACTACAGCAGGTTGTGTTTTTAACTTTAACAATTAGTCACATTATTTCACCTCTTTCCATTCCCACATGTACGTATAAAAGCTGGTAGTAAACTGTGCTGACAGACCGAGCCTAAGGGTTGGTGAAGCATGTAGAGTAGGTTCAATTAACACTTGAGGAATGCTGTTTACAACTCACTATGGTGCTGGCTTTGCTACAAGGGGAGTGTGTCGCTGAGAACAAAAACACCCAGTGTGCTAAGCTGCCACACTTCTCCAGGGAATATGTTCAGTGTTGTACCATAACAGGAAACGCAAACACCAAGTCAGATGGCGAGTTATTAATTGCTTGAACAGGACAGGGATTAAAATCAATCCGTTTTGGCATGAAAGGGAAAACAAATGGGGCTGCCAGGCCTCTGAGTCATAGGGTTCTGACTGAGAAGCTCCCCTGGTAGATCTGCGATGAGTCTGACAGCTGATGCTTAATGACAGGCGTAGAGCGTACGCACCGTTTCATTGATCAGTGATGTTGGCGTGTGCAGATTCCAGAGGATTTTCAACCTGCTCGCTCAACTTAAAACATGAGTTATCAAAACTTTTTAAAAAGCGAATCCACTTCATCTTTCTATATTATAAATCTTCATTTTTCATAAAATTTAAAAACAAAACATAAGTTGAATCAATTCTCAGTTCCTAGCTTGGTGCCACAAAGGGGTATTTTCATTATTGATAGTCCCTGATGCATCTCCGCTCTAGATGCCTTGTATTGATGCACCCCTGTGATTTCTTCAGCTTTTGCCGTATTGAGTCAATCACCTGCATACTGTTCAGCCAGCCTGGCTCTGTCATCACAGCTTATTTACATGTGCACAATTTGCAAAACTGTATTATAATCCGTGTTCAATATTTGCTTTGCTTTGTCCTCCCGAATAACCAACGTGCACTTGAACTTATAGTAAGAAATTGCTTGCTAGTCTGTCATGTTCAATGGTTCCACCACTTCTGTCCAGGTGTTAATGCTATGTTCAGACCGCACGCTATTAAAGCAGCAGAGGCAGCTGCTTTACATGCAAAGTCAATGGTTGACATGCATCATAAGGTCCTGCCGCACGTTTCAAGCTGCTGAGGCAGTGCCTCATGGGCCTCTAAGCTTCTGATGCGCTTCACAAGCAAACACTTTCAGAGTGTGAAAAATGTAACCTTTGCTGCTTAACACGCCACAACCACCACCTATTAAAGGCACACTATGCAACATTTTTCAGTTAATTAATGTGTTCCATAACGTTTTGGATGATTAAATGAGTCATTTCAGGTTGAACAAAGGTATTCTCGGCCGCCCTGGTGGTCTGTGGGGGAAATACTGCACTTGCAATTGCAGGAGCACCGACCCGCACCCACAGGCTCAGAAGTCTTGCGAGAGTCAGTCTTGCTTTACGGCGAGAACTGCTACACCCCCCAGTTAAAAGCATGCTCGTTGCTAGCACAGTGGCGATCTTTGTGCGGTGCTGCTTTCTCACCGGATGCAGCAAAAGCAGCAAAATCGCGTCTGCTGCTTCATTTTTACTGCTTGTACCAGTTAGTTCTGACGCGCGGCTGAAGCAGCTTTGCTGCTCTGGCTGCGCGGTGCAAAAGTGTGTCTGACGCGCGTTGGGTGGAGCTTCACTATCCTTTCTCTGCTTTGCAGCTATATTTGCTGTGATCAGTGGGAATAAAGTAGTTTTAATATGTTTTTAAGTGAGAAAATACACCTGAAAACATAATCAGTGCACTCAGTTCATTCAGATTATCATCATGACTTACAATATTTTTTCTGTCGGAGCCGCTCAGACCCCCACACACCAGCGGTGCGCCCACAGTAGGAATCCCTTCATCAGCAGCCTCTGGCCGGGTCGCCTCCTTGCGGTTCACCGTGGCAGCTGGTAGGTGTTTTTCATCTAAATAATCCAAACTGCAGGCACCAGGATAATAAAAGCGAACATATTCTGCCGGCAGATTTCTGCATTTTAAGTTAATTTAGGCGTTAATAAACTGTTTAAAATAGTGATCATAGCGCTCCGATCATCAGCGCTGTGTCTCTCTCCCAGCCAGCTCCCAGATCAGCTTCTCTGATTGGTTGACGCGGCGCGTCGAGCAGCAAAAATTTAATTTTTCCATCTCGAGCAGCAGCGCGTTTGCAGCGCGTTTGCAGCGCGTTTGCAGCGCGTTTGCAGCGCGTCACGCGCGTCAGATGCTGTCATTCGTTGCGTTCGCCCGTCTGCTAAGCTCAAAACAACCACGCCTGGCTTGACGGAGAAACCAGGAGAACAGCTGTGCACATTTACGACAGTGCACTTTTACTTTCGCCCTCTGGGGGGAGCCTCGCTGGAAAATCAACACCGGTTGCATAGTGTACCTTTAAGAGAAGCTCATCTGGGAGCTAACAGTCAGCACCGCTGATGCAGATCACTATGATCACTGATCTGAAACAGTTTATAAACACCTACATTAACTTAAAATGTTGAAACCCGAAATACCCGCAATATATTTTAGCTTTCATCATTCTGATGCCTGCAGTTTTGATTGCATTCATGAGAACCCCTAACACCTCCTTCCAGCTGCTACGAACTGTAGGGGAAAACCCCAGAGAGGCGACCAGGCCAGAGCCAGCTGTTGCTGGGCATTTCCAGTGACAGCGCACCAATGATGTACTTTGTGTTTTGTGCTGGTTCCGGCAACACAATAATAATCTAAGGCAGGATTGTAATCTTGATGAACTGACTGCACAGATGAAGTTTTCAGATGGACTTTCTCACTTAAAAAAAGGTATTAAAAACGACTTTTTACCCATTAATCACAGCAAATATAACAAAGCCGCGTCAAGTCGGTCCTTAATGGGTAAAACCATCAAAAACAGCAAGCGCTTTTTTGTAGTTCAATCGCATGTGGTCTCAATGTAGCATAAGGCTTCAAAGCATAGCCTCGGACCATCATCCTATGTGACTGCGTTTTAGGGTTCCTTTTTTCTAACAACTTTTCAAAAAATTCCCTGTTATTGTGTTTATCTCTCTAATGAATTCACAGGAAACTGGAGCGCTGTCAACTCAGATTACAATACTGGGATTTCCCGATTTGAAGTTTCAAGGTAAGTCAAATGCAACATTAACGACGAATATGGGGCTGTAAGGTACACCTATATCGCTTTTAATCGAGAGAATAACTGCAGTAGCCACGTTTCCACCCTTAGAGGGC